AATCGAAGTAATCTCCGAAGTAGTCTTCGATGTAATCTTCTTGGAAAGCGATACGACGATGGAAATGTTTTACCCACTCCTCGAAGCGGTGTTGAAAATCTTGATTCTTCGTAGCGTTCACTTCGCTCGTCGGTCATGGCCTCTCGAACGTTTTCGATCGTATGAAAACCTCGATCTCGAAGATGTTTTTTAATCTCGCGGAATTTCGTCGAGACTAATTGTGTCGGATTCGGAAAATAAAATTCTGGACTAATAAATTTTCCTACGTTATCGTAGCAAAGAGCTAAACGGAAACATCTCGAAACGTCAACTTTCGATTTAAAATGCTAATAGGTTTTCGATCGAAAACGCATCTATGATACGTCCTATCGTTCGCATATTATTCGTTATGTCCGTAGTTACGGTTCCCTTGCTATCAAAACCCGGTGGTGATGGTTAAGATCTATTTAACGTTGCGTTTTATTTCAAGTTCGAAACAGCGAACCGGTACAAGCCACTCTGAATAAAAGTCCGCGAGACGGTACTCAAAGAAGTTTCGCAACTGGTCGTGGCCGGTAGATCAGCTTTCCGCTCAAGTACCGCCTAAATTTATTCCACGAACGTTTCGTGCATTCGAAAGGCCTCGCGTCGTCCGTGGAATATCATGTGATTTCCACGTTTTTGGCAAATAAACGCGTACCTCCTATTGGATCGAGTTAGGCGAGAAAGGAAAATAATTGAGAGTACAATCGGGACAATGGAATGTTTCTAATGTAACGTATGTTCACGGACGACCAAACAAGATAGAAGAGTCGAAAATTCTTTATACATTAGTGCAATTTTACGAAATATTCGTGTTAGCTCGTCCAACAGCTTGACAGTATCGAAACCTCCGAACAATTCTTCGTTACCAATATCTTTGCCGTTCCCTTCGTAAACTTACGGAACTACTTAATCGACTATCGTCGCGATAATCTAATCAGACTTTTGCCCTTTCGTTCGAATCGAGCACGCGTCGAATTATCTACTCGTAAAGGCAAGCTATTGCACCGAATAATTGCGAGTTTCATTACGTAACATTACGAAATAATTTGGAAAAACATAGGAAAAACCGAAGATGGTTTTCGTCGTACAAACAAGGTTTAACTAAATTGCACTGTTCGTTGGACACCGCAAAAGTGATTGTACGCCATTGCATCGTATGCTTGTACTTGGATACGACAGATCAACCAAGGAAAGAGAAACGAGAGGAGCATTTTTTTAATTGTTCCGTCCAATTACGATTCGTACCGGAGGAATATCTGAAAAGTATTGGGTCCCGCAAGAAGAATGGGACAGCCGTGGCGATTTAACGAGGTATCGCGAGCGGTCTTGGGTGACGGTAGATGGCGACGTGGCGCGGTGTGGCGATTTAATCGCGGCTCTGTTCGACCGCGAGGCCGACTTGGTTCGCGATCAACGAACGTATTGTGTCCCCCGAAAAAGGATCTATCGCACCGACCAAGATAGCACCAAAGAAATAGTTCTTTTCGGCGAGCTCGTTTCTTTTTTTCCTTCGCGAAAACATCGAATTATTCGAGAAGCGTAATTTACGCAAATAAGAAGTAACTTATACGAAATATAATTCCGTCGTTTTACTCTCGGCAATCATTTTAATTACAATAACAACGGAGAACGTTAACAAGATCCTAGATATCAAAGGACGCTTCGATATTCAAGCCCTGGTTTCGTACTCGACTATCGACCGATTTATAACCGCATATCGAAGAAAAAGAATTTTTATGCAACCTTTTCGCCCCGCTTCGCTCTAATACCTTAGACTTAAACCATGATCACGACGGTTATGTTTTCCAACGACCAGGTATATGACCGTATTCGTTCGAGCGCGATTGTACCGTATGCAGTCCAAAGAAAGTGTATCTTGGTCCTGCACGTCGGTATACATACGTACACACGATAGTTTTCAACCGAACGAAACGCGAAGAGCATACCGCGAATAAAAGAGCGTAGAAATATCCAGATTCTGTAAGCTGAAGGGAAGTAAATTTTCTATCGAGCAACCTAATATAATATCGTGAAGAGGATCGAAAGCGTTCCGTGGCGACGATGTCGTCGCTTGATCGCGGGGTCGAGGTCCCGAAGAAGGTTCCAGAGATCTCCCGCGAGAGAACTCGCCCACGTAGGGTGCCGTAAAAGTTACCTTCAAATCTGCCCTCCGCCAACCGCCTCCGCTATCATCCTCCAACCAACCCCCCTTTCTCGTTACTCCTCGGCTTCTTCGCTTCCTCTTCTCTTTCCCTCGCCCTCGCCCATCCACCTATCTTTCCTTCTCTCGCCACCCGCGATCTCTTGCCTCTTCTTGTTCCTCTTTTCCCCGATTTCTTCGTCCCCCTTCCAACCAAGACACGTCGAGACGAAGCTTTCCAGGCGTCGCGTCGCCTCGCGTCTCTCGTCGACGAGCTGCAAGAATGTAGGTACGGATACTCCTGTGGCACCGCACGCTGGAAGGTGGTGGTTGGTCGGCTGAGATCTCTAAAGAGGGAGAGACTCTCTTCGAGATTCACGGACCAACAGTGGCGGGAAGAAGGAAGAGAAGGAGTGGCGCGGTGTGGCGATTTAATCGCGGCTCTGTTCGACCGCGAGGCCGACTTGGTTCGCGATCAACGAACGTATTGTGTCCCCCGAAAAAGGATCTATCGCACCGACCAAGATAGCACCAAAGAAATAGTTCTTTTCGGCGAGCTCGTTTCTTTTTTTCCTTCGCGAAAACATCGAATTATTCGAGAAGCGTAATTTACGCAAATAAGAAGTAACTTATACGAAATATAATTCCGTCGTTTTACTCTCGGCAATCATTTTAATTACAATAACAACGGAGAACGTTAACAAGATCCTAGATATCAAAGGACGCTTCGATATTCAAGCCCTGGTTTCGTACTCGACTATCGACCGATTTATAACCGCATATCGAAGAAAAAGAATTTTTATGCAACCTTTTCGCCCCGCTTCGCTCTAATACCTTAGACTTAAACCATGATCACGACGGTTATGTTTTCCAACGACCAGGTATATGACCGTATTCGTTCGAGCGCGATTGTACCGTATGCAGTCCAAAGAAAGTGTATCTTGGTCCTGCACGTCGGTATACATACGTACACACGATAGTTTTCAACCGAACGAAACGCGAAGAGCATACCGCGAATAAAAGAGCGTAGAAATATCCAGATTCTGTAAGCTGAAGGGAAGTAAATTTTCTATCGAGCAACCTAATATAATATCGTGAAGAGGATCGAAAGCGTTCCGTGGCGACGATGTCGTCGCTTGATCGCGGGGTCGAGGTCCCGAAGAAGGTTCCAGAGATCTCCCGCGAGAGAACTCGCCCACGTAGGGTGCCGTAAAAGTTACCTTCAAATCTGCCCTCCGCCAACCGCCTCCGCTATCATCCTCCAACCAACCCCCCTTTCTCGTTACTCCTCGGCTTCTTCGCTTCCTCTTCTCTTTCCCTCGCCCTCGCCCATCCACCTATCTTTCCTTCTCTCGCCACCCGCGATCTCTTGCCTCTTCTTGTTCCTCTTTTCCCCGATTTCTTCGTCCCCCTTCCAACCAAGACACGTCGAGACGAAGCTTTCCAGGCGTCGCGTCGCCTCGCGTCTCTCGTCGACGAGCTGCAAGAATGTAGGTACGGATACTCCTGTGGCACCGCACGCTGGAAGGTGGTGGTTGGTCGGCTGAGATCTCTAAAGAGGGAGAGACTCTCTTCGAGATTCACGGACCAACAGTGGCGGGAAGAAGGAAGAGAAGGAGAAAGAGGCGAAGGAGGAGGAGGAGGAGGAGGAGGAATCTCACAGAGGGTGTCGACGGTGGAGCCAAGGAGGCGAAGGGGGCATTGTCGGACCCCGAGGGCTTGGTGGACGGGCAAGAAGAACGGCAGGGATGCGAGCGGGGAAACGGGAGAAGGATGAGAAGTGACCGGATGGCCTTGGTCCCAAGACTTGGTTAGTTACCGCGCGGCCGACTATAACTGGTCGAGCTCCGTAACACACAGGGCGGTATCTCCGATTTCGACCGCTTTTTTAAACACGACCGGACCACGGGCCACCGCGCGCCATCCGCGACACCAGGGCAGCACCGAGAAACGCTCTTCGAGAGTTTACGCCGAAAATAGGGACCTTGATGATCACCCGCCGAACCGCCTTCTAACGCTCTCTCCTTTCCATTTGCTATTCCTTTTTCGACTTTCCAACCCTTCCTTAAATCTTAAGCCTTAAATATTAATAAACGAATTAATAACGCGTTCAATTCTTACAGAATATTTTATACTATTTACGAGACGTAATTAGTACAACTAAACGCCCTAATTCGTCGTTTCGATTAATAGAATCACGTATACGTTTTCAGCCGTTAATGATCAATTTTCAATGACGCGCATACAGGTACGCCATCCACGGTAAAACGGTTAACAAGCAACACGAAAATGATGGGTTGTTACCGAGCTGCACTTTCTTCTTCTTCTACCTCCTTTCCCCCTCTCTTAAACGGGCATAATCGACTGCAGGTCGAACATCGAGAGGTTTTGTCCTTGTTACCTTTCAAGATCGAATGCTCCTTGACGACGCGTACCTCGCTCAAAAGCAACGCCTTAATAACGCATTCGCGAACGATTACGTTTTAACGACGCTTTTAAACGACACTGGAAATCAACTGGATCTTCCAGACGAATCGGTTCTTTTTACCCACCCTTTTTTCCTCCACACTCTGCGCGGTACATCGCGAGAATTGATTTATATATCGTTACAACGAAATACGTAAAAGTTATTCGAGCCTTTTGCAAAGTTACAGGAGATTCCTGTCTACGGAGAAAACAAATGGCCTGGTTATTTGACCAACGTTGCTGCTCGTTGCTCAACAGAAGCAACTTACGAGATCGTCAGATATTTCAAGATCTATAGGTTGTGTCAAATGTTAGGGCCATGCGCGTTAAATTAAATAAAGAATCTTTTATTCTTTCGCAGAGATTCGGAAATTTTTCCTTTCGAAATGATCAAGTTACGATTTTGTGAATAACAGGTATAGCTCTTTTGTTACGCGAAACAGTGGCAGTAAATTTTATTGATTTTTCGAAAGTGCAACAATTAAATTCTTATATGAAAGGTTGCCATAAAATCCGATGCTCTGGTGACGACGTGTTCAAATTCCAAGTACGATAGAACACCGTCTCCGTCGATGTCGCTTTCTTCCAATACTTTTCGGCACACGGTGGCTACTTCTTCGGCATTCAGACCACCTTGAACTAACTGTCGGCAGGTGCGTTCCAGATCGTTCGTTCCTAACACTCCATCCTCGTCGAAATCTATTTATCGAAAATTATACAAAAAGAATATTACGAATTAAACGTTGTAATTTCACTTTTTTTCCGCTTTCGAGCGATAACACTGAACGTGCTATCAAAATTCAAACTAATACCATTTACTTTCATCTGAAAAACAAACGATAGAGTAATATTCTTTTGAAAAGCGTTAACCTTTTCGGTATCTGGTTCCGTGACCCCTGTGTCATAATATTAAATCGTAAGAAAATTAATTATCTATCCTAGCTAAAAGCAGCGGCATAATAAGCAAGAAGAAAAAACGTTTTAATCGAGTTGTAATTTATAGCGCAACGAGAAAATCGATAAAAGGTTCCGTACAACGTGTCTCGTGCCTGAACGCTCTACGTATATTCGCTTCTGAAAGCCATAGACCGAGCTATACAGTAGGTAGTACGAAGTCGATCTCGAAGCACTCTCACGATCCTCTGTCTGTCTGGTTCACGCGGTGGTCCGTACCGTAAATCTTAAAGGCGTAAAAGACCTTCAAGTCCCGCGGCGCCTGCTCCGAAAAAACCGACATCATCTCGAGGAACTCCTCGAAGCAGATTCCATCGTCGTCGGACAAGTTCTGCTGTCCTAAATTCTGAACGACTCGTTTAGTAAACACCTCCGAGATACGTTGCCTGAACGGATTTTCCTGAAACGAAATCGTTCGACGTCGAATGTATCGCGCGTTAACGTTACATTATTTGCGTTACGAAAAAGTTCGAAAACCTTCAATTCCGGTATACGCGTTAAACAGGACAATGGTATACGAACAGTGGTCGCTTGCCCGGCCGTCATACACCGTGGAACAGCTCCAGGATCGCCCATTTCTCGAAATCGTTTAAATATTCTATGCAAACACGAACGTATAAAAGTCATAATTCTAGTTCCAGAACGTTCAAATACTATTTTCATTTGTTATTACGATCATAAGCAAGAAAATTTCTCAAAGAGAAATTATAGAAATTGTAGCGTCGCTCGAATATAATTGCGATTTACCTCCTGTTGTATTACTAAACTAACTAAAACGATCACTTTCTTCTTCAAGATAGATACACTAGTTACCTTAAGATTTCTTTGCGGGTAAAAAAGGTGCAATCTTGATAATCCTCTAGCTGTTCCTCGGTGAACGTGGCTACCTTGTTTCCCATTTTATTTACGAACAAAAACACTCGTGAGTGCGACCGGACGTACACAGGAAGAATCGAATTTTGCTCGATGTTTCGCTTACGACTGAGTTTTCGCGCTAGGAATGTTCAATAGGAAATCTAATAAGCAGGGTGTGTCACGCCACTCCCACATTCAGGGCTGTTTGGATCAAGAATTTACGAGGAAAATCCGAATTCCCTCGTGACTGATTTCGTTTTTTCTTTGTAAATCAAATTTATTGGCAAAATGTAAAAAACTATTATCCAACGACGCCGATACCAGCAGAGAGGGCAGCTAGGAAGTTAAAGCGTTAATTCGAGTTTCGAAAATTAAGTGCAATGTATTACAAACAGAATTGAAAAATAAAATCGATTCGATTGGTTAATTTTCCTCATGAATAATGATCTTCATAATTTTCTTTGCAATCGAGCAGATGATCCAGACATTCTTTGAACTCGTCCTCTTCTAAACCGGATTCCGTAAACGCGTGAAATTTCTTGATGCTTTTTATTTTGCTCAACAGTTCGTGCAAAGATTCGTACATCTTACCGAGACTACTTCCACTGTGCAAACCAGCCATAACAGGAACCGACTGAACATCTAAACGTAGATAATCGCATATATAGAAAACCGAACTAATTTGTATCGCATTGTCGACGTACCTGTCCCTACCGGCCATCTTGCAATTTCTCCGTTTTCGGTGATATCGTTATTAAAAATTTTCGGGAACGGCTCCTTTATGCTCAGCGGCGACGAAATGGTCGATAAATACGTAGCAGATGCATGACAAGTACACGCTAAATAAAGCATCATCATCTCGTGTACGCTAGAACATCGATACGCCGGTTTCGACATTTGTTTCATCGCGTGAGAAATAGGTCGTTTCAATCTGTCTTCGGAAATCCCTCGTAAAACTACGCTTTGCATATTTCTATCCATTGGTATTTCGCAACTTGGTGTTAAGCTAGTCCACAAGGTTCCCTCGAATTCGTCCAGCACATCGATCAGATCCATCTTCGTCATCATGGGGAATGGCAGGGTTAAACTCGTTGCGACTGCTTGTCGACCGAACTGATTAAGGTCCGCGCACAAATCGGACAAAACAACGTTTGGATACTCTTTACGCCTGTATCTAATCGTTAGCGTATCTAAAGCAGTTGCTAAGAGTGCACTGCTATGATACTTTAGTTCAGCATCGTATATTAAATGATTAAATGCTCTTGGCTCACCGGCCTGAGGCCAGCCCGCTTCTCCGCAACAGAGTGGGCTATACAAGGAAGAATATTCTCCTGCATGTTGCCAACATAGAGCTGTATTTAGCGATTTGATCAAATTCGATACAGAAGGTTCGCTCGTTTTACTGTCGATACATGGAAAAGACAATATACTTTTTTCGTATTCGTCTTTTAAGTACTGCATACACGACGTACCCAGTCCTGCGAATCCATCCACGGAATCTAGAATTATCTGCATTTCATAAATACCATCAATGTCGTGAAACGATACGAGAATAATTGTTTACATAGCTTAATTAGTCATGTACCTGAAAACCTTGCATTAAATCGCACTCTTCTACATACGCTCTTATTCTATCGGCAAAATCTTCTGAAAATTGCTCCGTATTCCATAAACTTCTTCCATAAGTAAAAATATTGAATGGTTGTGTTGTACAACCATGTTTATACTCTTTTATAATATTCACTGTTCTGGGATGAAACCTAGGTACCAAATAATCCACCCACCAATTAACGTAATCTTCTAAATTCTGAGCTGTCGATTCGAAATTTTCAGTTGGCTCCTCTAAACTTCTAACAAACGATGATTTAGTTGCTGCTTCCTCTTTTGTTACTTCTACCTTTTCTTCGTCCCACAAGCATTTCGTTTCTTCGTCTCGAGGAATACTATACAAAGAACCTTCTTGTTTCAAGTATCCACATGATCCTTTTAGATCTACGAGTAATAATCTGGGTGTGTAAGTTAGCTGTTTCTGAAAGAATGTCACCCATTTATTTGTAGTCGTACATTATTAATATTATTAAATTTAAAAGATCACATTAGTTTCAAATAGATACCTTGAAATTTTCCCCTTCTCTATATAAAACATCGTGATTTATTTCTGATGGATTATTCGGATCATAGGAAAAATTAGATTCCTGAAAATGTTCAAATGGAAATTAGCTCTTGATACATTGAACTTTAAAAAATGAATCTTCCAAATACCTGCAAATTCCACCAATGTGTGCCAATAAAATTAGAATAATGACCCAATTGAATAGTTAAAATCTCTCGTGATGTCATATTTCTTTACTTATATTTGTAGGATTTTATGTGAAACAATAACAAAGAAATAAGGTTAAGTCATAAAGCACGTGTATACATTTACGTCGTTTTGAATGTTTTATCAAATACGTCCAATGTGTTTCCACGATATCGATAAATGCTCAACATTTTCTTTTATTCTTATTCACTATTACCAAACTTTACTTCTACATTTTCACGGAAGTTTCACTACATCGTGTATGCATCCATAACTTGTATCAAAGTATACATACCATGTTTACATGAAGTAAAACTGAACATAAATTTATTTATCAAAGGAAAATAATATTTTAAGTGATTTGTAAAGGTTTTTTTTTTAGACATAACGCATTTATATATTTACAATTACATTATTATTATTATTATTATTATTATTACCATTACAATTTATTATCATTATTATTATCACAACTAGTATGTTTCATTACTGTTCTTATATTCTTATTGTAAATTTGTACAAATATTTAGTTACAATTTATAAAAATTGATTTAAAAGCAACATCTTATCGCATTAAAATACTTGTACATATCTAAGAACCCAAAACTTGCTTTATTGCTGACATTTCTTTATGAGACATGGGTTGTAACATTAAGCCAGAAACAGGTGGATTAAGTTCTAAATCTCGCAATTCATTCACTTTAATTTTTAAATTACTTCTTATTTTATTAATTTCGATGTCGCACTCTTTTTGATCTGCAATATAATGAAATATGAAATTAAGCACAGTTTATTTAACAAACATATCAAAGTAATTGAACAACAAGTGACTTGGAAACCTTTTACAAGTAATTCTTCTGCAGTTTTAGACGACATTTTCAGTAATAATGGTCCAATAGTTATCCAAGTTTTTGTGCCAGTTGCCTTTTGTAATGCTCTCATTCCAACTCTATCCTCGTTTCTTCTTTTGTCCAAAGCAATTATTTCTTGACGGTCTGTAAGAATCTCCCCTGCCTTTTCTTCGACTTGTTGTATGTGTTTTAAAGCTTTCTCTTGATCAAATTTCATCTATAAAATAAATTGTAATAAATCGCTTAAATCTTGTTTTATTCACGAATAATTTTATGTATATCAAAATCAAGCGGAATTGTAAAACAAAAAATTCACATACACATTTAAATAGCGAATGAACAATTACATTATAATCAGTCTTAGAAAAAATGTTAAATTTTAATTTTTCAAATTGTTTAATGCTACTTTAAGACAGAGCAACACGCAGTGCTCTCTCTTTTCTAGCTTCCCTGCTTAATAATTTTTCCCTATCTTTTTTCTTTAAACACTTTTGCTTAAATATTTTAGGACTGCCAATCGCTGCTGTATCTCCGGGCTTGAAATGCGTCACTCTATATTCTTTCTCATCCAATTGACCTAATCCTTTTCTATCAGTTTTTAGACAGGTTTTTATAGGGTATTTTATTCCTTTTCCTGAAGGTCCAAGGCCATATTCTTCGTCCCATCCATTATTCAACAGGATTTGATAACCTTTATTTTGCTTTGATATTCCATACATGGTGCTTGGTAGTTTTGGTTTAGAATTAAATATATGAAGCACAGATGTTTCATGTTTCTTCCAAGTTGTTTTATAAAAGTGAACTTCACAAATTTCGCAATAAAACCCTGTACTATCGCTTGAGCAGTCTTGTTCATTATCAATATTTTGGTTCCATGTTCCATTGTTATCCTTCAAAGGTTCAATTAACTCTGTCTTTTTTTGCATGGTAGTATCAATATTTATTTGTGACGAACACGTATCTGCTTCTATTGTTTTGTTACACACAGAGTCCGTTCTCTTCTTGAGTAGAGCAACTATATTTAAATAATTTTTTTTCAATGCTAATTGTGCCGCGGTAAGACCAGATTTTTCTTTAGCTTTTCTGTTGGCACCAAGGCTTAATAAAAATTCTACAATATCTAAGTAGCCACAATATGCAGCCGACATAAGAGGAGTCCAACCAAAATCATCCATCAGATTTACATTGTCACGCGTTACATGTTTTAACAAAAATTCAAAGTCTTTTTGTTCCACCGCTTTCAATATACTATTAATTGTTACCTTTTCATCTGACCTCTGGTTATGTCTAACTTTTTCATTGCTATCATTTATCGAAAGCGACTTTGTAGTACTCTTAGTAACATATGATTTCTGTTTACAATGATTGTGTTGCAACTTTGAATTTACATCGTTTCTTTCATTAATGATTTCTTCGTAAGCTTCTTTTGCTTGATTTTCCTGGAAATTCAGATGATGTTCTTTCTTTTCCGAAGGTATCGGAGAAACATCGCAAGATTCTCGAACAAACGTTTTCCATGCTATACCAATATTGTGCGTAAAAAAATTACTTTCCTTTAACATCTTTTTCGACTAATATAAATATAAATATTCACGAATAGATATATATATATATAATAATGTTTCTTTTCAATTACAAGTGTTTTTTATTCGGATAATTTATACGCTTCTTCTGTAGTTTACAGGTTCATTCTTTTTTTCTCTTTAACATATCAATTCTTTTAACCACTATATATGTATCAAGTTTGAAAACTAAATACGTAAATTATTACGATTAACACTGCGTCCGTCAATTTTACAATTACCTTTTGCCTTTTACAACTACTGCTGTTTGATCGTAGATTTCACTATTCTTATAACACAAACATAGAGTAGACATCCCTACTTTTTGATACAAATATACTATGGAATAGTAACATGCGAAACATAAAATCCACTAGCTTTGATATTTATATTTATTCAATTATAATCTGCAACAGTCATCTATGTATTATTTTATGTATGTTTTTTTTTCATTTATTCATTTTCTATTATTCTATCTTTTCTTTTTACATATACTCCGTTATTATCTTTTGTTCATTTGACTGTAGACAATACACAGATATCTATGATACTATACAGTATCACTAGAAACCACATGGCTGCATGATTTCATGCTTGTATAGTCACATGGTCGCATCTATAGTCATATAATTGCACGGCTACATGAATGAACGTTCAGGTATATAAGTAATTAATTTTTAATACAGCGATATTTTGTCTGAGTTAAAAAAGAATGGGTTTACAAATTCACGCAAAGATAGCGCTTGGATGGTAGGTGTAGAGTAATCAAATACGCTTGCATTCGCTGTTTTCGACTGAACTTCTTTTACACAGTTGACTCCTTACATAAAAGTATTTGTTATTTACAAATAAAGAATACATACATCCTTTTATATGTACATTATTCTTTGAATCCATTCAATGCGATGAAATTGTTAAAAAATATTTATACGATTTCTTTTACAGGATATTCTCTGCTGGTGTAGGAATAGCTGCTTTTGCACTAGCAAGAAGACGTATAAATGATAAAAGATATGATAATATGAAAGCAAGGCAGCGTATACGCGATTCTAATATTGTAGATTAAACTATATGTTTAATGTTATCTATATCTATATATAAATATATATAAAATAAAGAAGAATTAAAATAAAAAATGGCTGGAATACCGCAATTGAGCGAAGAACAATTAAATTTAGTAAGGGATATAGAAATTGAAATGATGACCGATATGTTTCATCGCATGACATCTGCATGTCACAAGAAATGTATACCACCAAAATATACAAATCCAGAATTAAGCAAAGGAGAATCTATATGCCTAGATCGTTGCATTGCTAAATACTTGGATGTTCAAGAGCGCATCGGGAAAAAACTCCAGCAAATTTCTGTACAAGAAGAAAGTTTCTCGAAGGGTAAAGTCGTAGAACAACCAAAAATAAATTAAGTACAACAAAATATTATTTTGTTAGAAGAAACGTATGTAAATTTTATTCGTATGCATTTAACAGTTTTTTCTTCTAATGAGTTATAAGTATACATAACTTAAATAGTAGTATAACTTACGCTTACAAAGTCGTTATTTCTGTAATTTACAGAAGAAAACTTAGAATAAATAGTAATGAAAACTTTACATTACCGTTTAACAATCTCTTACTTTAATTTAAACAATAATATATTAAAATGTGGTAAAAAATATATATCATGCAATGTTGTATGGCGAAAGAAAATGTTTTCCCGACAACACGTAATCCTCAAGTAGAAAAATTTATTTCATTGTAATACATAATTATAAGTAGAAAAAATAACAATACAATCAAAAAGTCAGTCAATATATTAATCATTATAAACACAATGACGTAATTTTTTGGCAGCACGAAAAATTATGTACATATTTAAGTATCGCGCGTTACTATCGAAATTACGGTATTCCGTCAGAAATGTATTTGTTACGCTTTCTTCGTGAACACGATTCTTCTGTAAGGGAGCTCAATTTTATTAGATTTTTTTCGTTTCGTTGTCCAAATTGCTATCACATACGCGAAACACTTCAAATTTAATAAACAAGTTGCCATTAACCAGCAGTTTTTTCTTTTATCGGATAGGTTGTCGCTAACGCTAAAGTATGTTGACCTCCGCCTGCAACTCGTACTATCGTTTTACCTTCCAATTGTTTTCCTTTAACTAATACAGGTTCTTCGACATCTTCTTCTTCTCCAGTTCCTAATTGTCCATTTGAACCCATACCCCAAGAGTATAAATCTCCTATAGAGAAGAAGCATGTATTTATTAATAAATGAATACGTATCATTGTATCGTATAACGATAAAAGTACCGGATTCGGTGACGGCAAAAGATTGAGCACTGCCCGCTGCAACGTCAACGCATTTAAAGGAACTTAAAGCAGGAACTAGTGTTAATTCTTTCGCATCCGAACAGTTTGGTCCAAGTCCAAGACGACCGTATTCTTTACGACCCATGACAAACACTTGACCAGAATCATCTAGAGCTATCGTATGATGTTGGCCACTACTAATATGTTTCCAAACCTTACCGCTGAAGGTTTTCGAAATTTGTGGGTGAAACTGAGTAACAGGATCTTTTAAACCTAAAATAATATTCGATTATAGTATTCTGTAAAAATCGAGTATCATATTTCATTCGTGTTACTTACCAATTTGATAATAATTGTTTAAGCCAAATGCATATATATCTCCTTTTTGATATTCTTTAGCAAATGTACAGTATGACCCAGCCCATATATCGGTAAATTCTAATTTTTTAGTAACTTTAAATTCAACTAAAGCTGGGATTAATAAAGGACCTATTCCATGACGGGTGTTTCTACTAGCTGCTCTAGCAGCTACGCGTCCTAGTTGACCTTGTTCTCCGCATCCACACGTATAGACGTGTCCGTTTTCGTTAAGTAATACTAAGTGGTCAGCACCAGATGCTATTTTCACTATCTTTACATTAGGCAGTATTTCTATTGGAAACCGTTCGTTTCCTTTCAAAGTAAGGCCCATGCTGCCGTGAGAATCCTTAAAGATACATTTCAATATCACATCGTCTTGTTTCTTGAAAATCTTGTATCGTACAAAACAATAAAATAAAAAGATAACTGGTAAAGAAAATATACCCTAAACGAGCCCCATGCAAACACTCGACCATCTTCCAGTAAAGCAGCGCTATGCGAATCTCCAGCAGTCACCTGAACAGCTTTACCAGGCAAATCGACAGGACCTGGTTCCGTTTCAGAACCATCTTTAGAAGTATCTCGTCCCAATGCACCTTCATCGTTGCAACCAAACGTTAATACTTCTCCTGTTTTCCTTATGCAGACATTATGCATGCCACCGGCTGCCACAGCTACGACATCTTGGTAGCCAGGAATAGTTGCTGGGCGCGTTTTCTCAACAATTTCTTCTCCTAAACCGAGTTGTCCTACATCACCTTGTCCAAATACCAGTAATACGCCGCCAGTCGCGATTTGTCGCAAGTCAGGTTTTACAATTAATTCTGTGAAATGCATGCAAACGTTTAGTCGTCACGATATTTCATGTACAAAGGAACGATCGCGTTCGCGCCGATTCACGCAAATCGTACACGCGTATTATACACGATATCGTAACAGAGAAAGTTATTTTAAACGATTCTGAAAAGTTGCGGAACACCTCAAATGTACCTCCAACTATCCACTCGAGAGAAACAATAATTATCGATCGTAAAATCGAAGCACAACCATGTGCATCGTGGTTTTATACTTTCGATAAAATTCCTCTAGATAAATAACAGTTTATAGGCGCGAAAATTACGATTTTCGGTAACTGTTTGTCATCGATAAAACGAGCAATTCACCTTGTTTTTTCCTAGTCTGTTTCGGCTCTCGTGGACCTTTCGGTGCAGTCAGTGCGGATCGTTTTGTTGCTTTCCTTGGCGGCACTGAAAGTATATCAAGGTTATGTTTACAAATACGCGCGTAAAATCGTTTTTATGACTGTCATGTATGGAACAATGAACGTTTTTAATATCGTAATTTATATACGTACTAATTTTACAAAGCGATTGTCTTGGAAGCAGGATATATCGCGCCTTACAGTCACTTGGCGCCAAAAAGTTGCAATGCTGCTGACCTCGCGACTGTTGCGCAACTCACAGGAGGCGCTAACGTTCGACTCATAGAGAAAACCTCGTCACTTTTAATATCTTCGGTCGATTTTCAATCGTAGACCTCACTTCCGAGATACGAAGCGCGTTGGCTTCGTAACGGAAATCCCACTCCTTCGTCGTCTTGGCCGCCACGTGTTCGACACGTCTTATAACTATAGAGTTCTCGATTTTGCTTTACGTATCTATTCCGATGATCCATCTTTCGAGGTAAATTTTTTTATTTTATAGCCATTTTGCTACGAAAAGTTTATTAATCAGAAACAAATAACGGCTTTATAAATACGTTAGATGATTATCGATGACAATTTTATAGGTTAACAATGTATTATGTCAATCTTCTTTAGAAGAGATCGGTGCCACGTGGATAATCATTTACGATTCACGGTATGTATCAAAAGCATCATTTTCAGAGTTGTAAGCTATACGTAGAGAAAAAATCAAGTTTACGATTATCTAAAGCGATGCGTGTAATAATTTTAATCGTAACAACTGATTGTCAAGTTTAAATTTTATAAACTCGATAAGTGAAGAATCGCACTAATTTAAATGCTTGCTAATACCCATGGAAATCTACGAAATTACGATGATAATAGGACGTTTGGGAAACGTCGATCATCGTGTAAACGCATCTTCGTTACTTTTGATAAGTGGTCATATCATTCTTGTAAATCTATTTAAAGTTGCCTTAAAAATAGTTAAAACGGCGTCGAAAAAACAACGGAAATTTATTTGGAACGTTCGTTTTCTGTGTCGACAACGACTCGATCAAGGCGACACGTGGTTCGAGACATTCGAAACGATAAATTGGTGGTATCGTTGGCAAGGTGGTACGCGTTCGCGACTCGCATTAAATCGCAAATTAGCACATTTTAGGAGGGAACAAGGTTTATGGATATCCAAGGAAAGAGGCAATGCGAGGGTAAACGGGAGCGTGCGTTGAATCAGCGGGGGCTGGCCGGTTATCAGAGGGGTCAGATACGTCGAGCGCGCCAGTCGAAGCCGAGACCTCGTCCGCGCAACTTCTCTCCGTCGAGTCTGTTTCCGTGTCGAACGGATTCGCCGGTTTTTCAACTCGTTCGTCTACCATCTATCGTGTTTTTTTTTTATTATTTCCATTTTTATCATACTTATTTGTTTATTCGATCGTGAATCGGGAGACTTTCCATTTGTGTTACGTCGAACAAACTTTTAACCTGTTTTACCCGTTAACTTTTACTCACTTTTTTCACGATAAAAGGGCTGACTTTCTTTCGTGAGTGTAGCGAATAACGAATTCAAATTAATTATTAGGTTGATGCAAATGAAATGACCGGTTTGTTTGATAAATTTTTAACACTTTTTAATTTATCAACACCGAAACAATAAATATTGAATAAAGAATAAAAAAAAAATTAGCACCTTAAGCGTTTCTATAATTTATATCCATTCTTTCCGATGAGTTCGATCGTTTTAGCATCAGAAATAATATTTATCGATCAGAGAGATCTATATATCCTGCGATAAAAATTGTTAAAGCAACGAAATATTCTGCTTTCATCGTTGAATCGATTAATTAAGAAATAATACGCGAATTTCGTTGTGAACTGTTAATTATAACAGACTTTTAGTCATATTGTACGTACAAATGAAACGTTTATCCGGTAATTTTTGTTCAATTTTAAGCTACGATTTGATATAACAATAGCGCTATTTTACCGTGCATTTATGTTATCGAATCCTGTCAGACTTTAGTATTTCGAAGTCGGTCGTTGGATATGCAACAACTTAATTTCTTCGGATCGTAACGAATCTAAATAAAATGTATTTATGAGAAGATTCTCTCGATAAACGCGTTGTTCGATCGAACGATAATTAACAGGTTAAAAGACGCAAAGGAATCGAGAGTGAACGGTGAAAAAAGCGGGTTGATGTAGAGCCGAAGAATCATGACGAGAGTGCGTCGACATCGATTCATCCCGTTACTGGTGCACATCCTGCTCGGTGGTGAGTTTCGTAAGACACGATGTTTTTATTCGCGTGGCGAATACAACGAATCGTGGAAGATCGTTTCGAGATTTTCCAGTCACCACGTGCCCGCTATTCGTCACTGTATCGACACGATGTTCTTGTCCCCGCGAGATTCAACCTTTCGATTAAGAAAAATGTACGCGTATAGTCCCTTTATATTTCGCTTATAACTTTTTAATCGCTCGACGATAAGTTATTAAAACAATAATTTAATTTTAGTTTAAGATTCTATGTGTACAATGCGTTTATCGAGCATTCTATCGTTCTTCTAACTGATATACATACATATGTCGCTTCAGTTTATCGTAGTATTTTAGTTTAGTCGGTAGGATCGAAAGCAGCATAAGACTTGTTGAATCTTACGGCGATGAAATATTTCGCGCGAAACTCGACATCTCGTCACGAGCAATGTTGTGCTTCGTTCGACTGCGACCGCTTTAGGATCGAGTCTAATCGAATCGAACAGATTCGATGGTGCACGGTACGCGTCCTCTCAATCAGGTTGAGTGGTTTCGCCAAGCTTGCATGTCCTTTTAAGAAACACAATGCCATTGTCGGATGTCATTCAGCGGCGAAGAAAGCAGACCGACTCGCGATATATTTTCTTGCATTCCAAAAGTTCGAGACTCTTCGTGATCCCTTGATCTCTCGAGCTACGAGCCGGTTCTATATCCGATGTTTTTCGAATTCTTCTGTCATGTTGTGTTCTTTTATCCCGGATATTCGTCCAGGTGATCATGGTGGTTCAGATTTTCGAAAGGAACGCGTACTCGATGTTTGGACGGTAGAGAGACAATTGATCATGCTGCCGATATTTCGAAGGAATAACCGTGATTGAAAATCTGCGCGAGCGAACGTCGGTCGGACGGTCGAGGAAAACGTTTCCCCTAGAATTTGATTATCGTCCGTAGAAGCTCGGTAACGAAACTTTGGGAATCGACGAATATCGCGATTCGCTCGATGCCACAGTCCAACGAAAAGTTTATTCGGAACACGGGAATCGTCAATTTAATCCTTATCGCGAAACGATAGCTTTTCCGTCGATGCAGCTTTCTTTGCAATCGATACAGCTTTAAAAGCTACGTTGTATATCTTGATCGTTAACGACCGCTCGAATCGTGCTTTAATCCGTTAGACTTCCGTTAATTCGTTCCTATCTTGCATACGATACGACCACAGGCTACTCGTATCGCCAAAGTAGAAAGTACAATAATATTAGGCGCGCGACGACTACAAGATTTCGCTTCGTTTACGCCTTGGAAAACGAATTCCGAATTAGCGGATAAGCTGTAAGTTTAATCAAGTTATGAATTGTTCGAAAAAAAATGTTCGTAAAACGAGATTTTCGATCAGCTAAAATTGTCTATCGAAACCATTCGCGATATCTGGTACGAATGGAGTTTAGAAGCGACGAAAACGGAATAGCGGCAAGTTTTTATCGGTCGCGAAGAAAGTCGAATCGAAGAACGAGGTGTCGGCACGATTGAAAATGCAATTTGCATCGATGGAAGGAAGCTGCTCGCAGAAATCACAAACGGGCTCTGATTAGAGCCAAGTTTTCCGACAAGAAACTGCTCGTTCGAGGACGGAGCGAACCTCGTCGAAACTCGCGAAAAAAACGAATGAGCCGAGTAACAAGACGGAGAACGAGTCGGGGAAAAAACAGGAAAGAAATTTGCCTGGGCTAATTGCATGAGATATGCGATTGTTTCATGCATATTCAGCGAGTCCTCGATGTGGGAATAGCTGATCCCTATTCTTTCCGGCTATATTCTCTTCCACCCTTTTGCATCTCTTTTCCCCGCTCGTATTCCTTTCCCGCGAAAAGTCGCCCTTTTGCAGAAGGAAGATCGTTCCTCGAGCGAGTAATCCGATCCTAAGCCTCGAGTCGCGTCCTCGATATTAATTAAGTCCTCGATCTTGCGCGCACCTGCTTCTCTCCTTTCCTCGATACGTTCGCGAATCCGTATATTTTCTCGTTTCTCTCTAGTAAACAACGCCGTCGACGGACCAGCGTAAATAACTTTTACGGAAAGCGAATCGATATTCGAAAGGAGAAACTTCCGCTGTTGGTTCCCGCAGTTCCGAAAATTTGCTTCACGGATACGAAACGAATCGACGTTACAACTAGTCCGGACAACTCTGCGTTCACGAGAGCAGCTGTTTTCTCGTAGCATATGGTTGTGAGACTACTTTACAGGTTACTACTCGACACTTTACTCGAGGGCAACTCGGAGTATCGTAGATTTTTCGCACGCTAACATACGGATCGGCAAATGAACGCGTAGCAACGTTTCTAGCCACGATCGAGTCGATTCGTCTTTTCACGAAGAAAATCGTTGGTCCGTGATTGAGGAACGATAGATAACGGCAGCAGCCGTGGACTCGTTTAAACGTTAACCGACTTGGATCGTCGTCTTTCATCGACGGAGGATAGAGAAAGAAGAGAAACCGCTTGCACCGCGAAAACACGTTCCGTTGACTCGGCAAACATTTTCTCCGCGGTCCTCCAGCGATACCTCGTTGCCTAGGATCCGAACGCTTTCGTATTTTCCCGAGAATTCGTTTTCTTTTTTTTCGCGAAAAAGTGGTTTTTTCGTCGCGGTAAGAGAGCACTTCGAATCGTGTGTTCTCAGAAAACATCCATCGGGATCGTACGCGAACGATCGTCGCTGTGCGTATACCTACGTTTGCCTGTTCGATCGAGCCAAAGTTATTTTTACGCTTGGCTGTCGTCTATCGTATCGTTTGTTTTTCCCCATAAATTTCCTACGGGTGAAAAAATTGTTAACCTCGATAATTTCTCTACGCTTAAGAGAAACGTTGCACGAAAAACAGCGATTGAAAATTTTTTGTGTCGCGAGCGTCCAGTCGAATTTAAAGGATAGCGTAAACGATCACGGTTTACAGAAAATGTCTGGGATTGTTCTCTCGAGACATCGCGTATGTTAAAGTTTAGCGATTCTCGTAATCTTTCGAAACGATTCCATTTGTGCGGTAAAGTCCCGCAGGCCCGCTAAGCAGATTGAGCGAGTGGACGATCCGCGATCACGTACAGAAAGTCAAGGTAGCCTTTGTACGCGAACGTTATCTACCATTCGTTAACGAGCATTAACTCTTCCTCGCGTAGGGAGGAAATATGGGTCAAAAGTTGGCCGCAAAGCGGTGAAACGACGCGGACCTGGCGGACTGGGTCGGCAAAGCGGAGTTAGGCATGGTTTTCGACTGGCTTTAATCTGTTCCAAGTCCAGTTACGGTATCTGCAGCAGCTTTCGAATCCTTGAATTTACGCTAAAATACTGGTTCCAGCGACTACATTAGTTTCTTCCAAGTAGACAATATAAGATTCTTACTATTCGATCATTGCTTTCTCGAACGAGCCCCGACTCGAGTTTCAGGCTATCGAGTTTAAGGGATTCGCCTACGTAGAAACGTACGATTCTTTTGGGTGACATTTTTTCCGAGTAGTCCTTAAAATACGTGTCAGTCTACGGGCTAATTTATTATGAATCGACGCTCTCTCGCATCTAGCGTTCCTCGAATTTCGGTGAGTCTTCAAGGTACGAGCGAACGTTCGCGAAGCGGAAATTCGTGGCAACAGACGGAGGTAACGGAAGCGAGAGATGCGCTCGCGAACACAATGAATTATACGAATAGAAGGGATAGAATATGGCGTTAATCCGGCGTGTGTCCGACGATTTGAAAGTCTAATGCGAACTGGAATGATTTTTCTGAAAGGGTTCGTAACCTAGCGTGTTCCACTTCGGTGCTGCCACCTGTTGGCTGGAGAATCCCATAAACTCGGTAGCAGTAATTTTTCTTTGCCGGTAAACAATTGGAAGCTTTTAAGTAATTGCTACGTTCGTACCGAAACCCTGGAAACGATCCTCCGTTTCGTATTCGTTAGGATCTCGGAATATCCTGTATTCGATTACGTCTCTTCCACGGATAAAACTAGGTCCATGAATTAAAACGATCCTCTTCCACTCGATCTACTCGGTTTCTTTCGCTACAAAAATTAGATGGTCGAGTCGATCCCGCTAGCAGAGAATGGTTAGCGGCAATCTCAGCTTTTCCGTAATTGTCGCGCTGCTATTACTTTCGAGCGAATTAGCTTTCCTTCTTCTGGAGCAAGCTGCCAAATTACCGGATTAAATAAGCGAGCGAGTCAATTTTACAATTAGGCCAGAGTGAATTTTTTCTCGCGAGATTCGTTCGACGTTAAAAAGCTTTCGTCGCTGAATGATTACATACATATTTCAAGCGTTACGCGATCGAATCGCTTACTCCTTACGTTAGTCTACGAAGCTGTAGATTTACCGATTTGTAGGCAACGATAGCTCGAATCGGGTACAGTTTCCTATAAAGCCGATACTACTTTTCGAAAGTAAATCGTAGATCTTGTCGAAGGGACATTCGTTCGGTGTAGTTTCTTTTCGCGTAGTTGCGAGTAATTTTCAGGCTCGGACGATACCGCGGCGATAAATGTCCTTGCAGTGAATAAATTCAAATGGATACCTACGTCGTAAAATAGTTGACTTTTTCCCTTATTTTTTACGTCCAGCTACGGTTTTATGGCAAACGGCGAGAAACGGGCTGCTCTCGGCTGCAGCGAGGTATAACGACACGGAAACGAATCAGAAGTCACCGCGATTTCGAGCGACTCCTGCTTTCCTCTTCGACTTTCGTTAACGCTTTTACTCCGCGCGCCACGAAATTGCAACTTTTTCTTGCGCGTTCAAGTAAATCGAAAGTAACGAAAAAAATAGCGCTTTACAAAAAACGAAGGTAGACAATTTGAAGGAAATTGCAGAATAGTAAATCACTTTACGTTGTAATCTTTACGATAGCGCGTGTTCTTCGAGACATCCTATGTACGTAGGTGCATTCTCGGGACAAATCCAGTCAACGAGACACGAGTTTACGGTTAGAGCAAAACTCTGTAACTGCAGTTTCGAACTTGCACCACGTGATTT